CAATTTGAGTTGAATTACTGAAATAAATGAACTTTTCCACGACATTCTAATTTATTAAGATGCACCTGTGTATATATATATGTAATGTAAATAAATGAAATAGTTGGATGTCATGAACATCATTGGCTTGTGCATCAGTGTTTAGTATTTTTTTACTTAAGTATTATTCATATACGATTATAGTTTTTATTAATATTTTAAAGTAGCTTTTATTTTTATATTTTCATATAAATGATTCATATGTGATTGTCTTTTATTAGTTTTACCTCTTTCTTAAATTATTTCTATTAAGTTCTTTTTAAACATTACTATTAAGGTTTAATTATATCAGTTGTAGTTTCTATTTATTTCTAGCTCATTTTATTACTTTTGCAAACTTATTTCAGTTATCATTCAGTTGTTATGGTAAGATTTCTAATTTTCTTTTAGTTTGTATTTCATTTTAGCTTTATTTCAGTTAACAATAATAACCTTGCTGACCATGTCTCATGACCAAACTTATGACATCGAATCTACACCATATTGATTTGTGAAGTTTGAGTTATATGCATACATTTGATGGTGATTTTAGGACTCTTTTGGAAGCTCGTCCCTTTTTACTGCAATTGTAGGCAAAACCGAGTCTGCTTTTGGGTTTGGAACAACATGAGTAATAACTAATGACTGAATTTTCTTTATTGGGTGAACTACTGTTTTGTGTCCTACAGCTCCTCTCCGAATGTCTCACCTGCAGCTTCTAGAGATGAGGTACAGCATGTTCATTCTTATTTTTATTATTGAGGTAACCTATAATGTTAATGCTCATTATAGCCACTTGTTTGTCTTTGCAGAACACTAAGTAAGAACTTCCTTTCAGTCACAACTTGTGGATTGATGTCTTGTGGACCAATTAACGCACATCAGTGGTCAAGAGAGCACAGGCCGGTGTCTGGTCATGGTTTTGAGAGATAAATTATTAACACTTCTTGACTTCAGTTTTCTTTTTGTGAATGAATCGGAAAGGGTACAGTTTTAGTTTTTTTTGTGATATGCTGCCAATTTCTGCACTTGCTTACTTTGCTGTAAAACAAAGTCTTTGATTCTTGCTTGGATCAAAGAACAAAAAGAAAGCATTGAATCTTTTTTTTCTTTCTTAAACATTTTGACCTTTCTGCGCACAACAGGAAGAACTCCCTCCCTGTTCTCTCATTCATTGTGTCCCTCCGTATCTCCCCTTTTCTGTGACCTACTTAAGAGACGGATAGGACGTAAGGTTTGATAGTCTCACTCTACAGAACAGACACACTACAGACTTCACTTTAAGAGCGATAGAAGGTGGTACAGCCCAGATGTATTAAATAATATTCTGAATCAACACTAATCAGTATTTAATTACGCAGAAGCTGAGCATGCTGTTATTATCTCAGTAATTAGTAACTGGAAGGAGATGAATGACCTGGGTGCTGCTTTTAAATGTTTTTGACAAGCAGAGTAGTTACTGTAATAGCAAAGCGTTTCTCCTTTTATCTGGTGGGACACACTAGTGGTGTTCCTACAAAAAAAAAAAAAAAAGGGATCGAGGAACTTTTGTTACTTCAACTAGTTCATAGAGCAAAGTATGCTTCCTTTATAAATTATCAGTTGACCTTACTGATATAGAGGTCCGTTTCGGTATTCAGCTTAACCGGATCTTTAAGTCCCAAACAATTGACTGAAACATGAGCCTTTATCAGTTTCTTTGGTCAGTGTGAATCTTAAATGTGAAAGCTAAAGATTTTAAGTCTCATTCTCACTTTCACATAACTGTAAATGTGGAAATAAGAAAAAAAAGGACGTCAATATGTTTTTGGTACTTCAGATACAATAAGGTTGAAATTTTAGGTCACTTTATGCGGGTTTGGCATGAACTCAGTTTTAGATTTGAAGCAGACTGGAGCGCATTCATTCTTATGTAATAATATTATTATCATAAAGCTTCAAATTTCCAGTTTACATTTGATGTATTTTTTGTAAATATTTTGTTGTTTCTTAAGCTGGTCGTCAACTCTTGAAACCCTAACAGTCACTAAACCCTTTTTGTTTTTTTTTAATGTACTTCTGCAAGAAAATGCAACTTTATAAAAAAAAAAAAAAAAAGATGAAGTGTGTTTGTTTTTTTCTTACGAACGAAAGCCATAGGTGAAAGTGCACTGAGCCGACCCAGAGTAGAAATAAAGCTATACAAATGAAATGGCCTTGTGATAATCAATAAATGATTGTGAGGAGAACAAACCTCTGGAATCCAGTTAAATTATAACAGCTGCACATCAGTCAAAATCCAAAGTGCAAAAAAAAAGTCAGCCTAAGGCGTTTAGACAAGTTCCCACCACTGAAATGCTTCTCGTGCCCAATTGCTTTTACAGGATATTGTTAAGGTCCACCCAATTCAGGGTGTCTCACGAAAAAGTTTCAGAGAACAACTTCCAAGATTTTCAAATGTTTTTTATTGAATTGAAAGCGGTAAAACACAAACAAACTGGATTTACACAGGCTCTACACAACAAGAATCAGATCAGTTGGCAAACTGCTCAAAAGAAATCGTCAGTTAACAACTGTCAATACAACACTACATAACAGTACTAAATAATCTGCGCAAAAAAGCGTGCATGCACACACACACCCACACACACACACACCCACACATACACACAACTGCTGTAAAAAAGACTATAAAGGTCCAAAGATTTAAGTAACAAACATCATTTAAGAAGCCAGAATTTCCTCTTCTATCATATAAAGCCAAACTATCTAGCTCCTCCTTCTGCATATGGATTAGCAAAAAAATATCCCATAACACCAGGAAAAGACAGGAATTATTCACACCAGAGAAAAAAGCTGTAAAAAAAGCATTCACTAATGATTAGTACTTTAATTGCTCATATCAGCCAGTGAAGAAAGTTAAAAAACCAAGTCATCGTTACATATATGGGAGTTTTTATATGGTTTACAAAGCTGAAACAGGACATAAATAGATACAGCTCTGCCTGCAAACAATTCATATGGTTTCATTAGCACATTTAGTGTCTGTAAACCAGTGTGGTGCTCTGTTCAACATACAACTTTATGTCAAGATACTCCACATTAGAAACCCAAATTACTTTCCTCATTGCTGGGGAAAATATATCAGTGAGAAATCGTTTGGTAACATTTTTCTCCACTAGTAGAAAGACCCATTTATAACCACAGGAAGCATCCTGGTGACATGCAGACTGTTATTAAGACTCCAGGTTTTCTTGTTCATGTGAGAGTAGAAACATTGGTAGGATCCAAGCAAACCTTTTTTTGTCATCAACACAGGCCAAATTCAGTTTTTTGCAAAAGACACCAAAATTGCAAAAGGCCCTTATTGCTTTTTCCCCCTTTTTGTACTTATAAGGGTGGCCAAGCAGTGCCTGCTAACAGATTTACAAGAGTGCATATAAACATACACATATGCTTTTGCTATTGGTTGACCAAACCGCACACAGTAACAGTAAACCCTAAGACTTTAATTGAAAACCAACACGCAAAGTTCTACATCATAGCTCAAAAGAGAAATGTTAAGAAAGTCACAAAGCAGCTTATGGGTCATCCAAGCACGAGTCGGTTCACGAGCACTGCGCTAGCCGTCACATCTGACATTACAAACAGACAATATTATAAGACAGCGAGAGAGTGCGTCTCTCGCAAAGTCGAGTATGAACGAACTATATCTGTTTACATGCTAGTGCCCCCTCCGAAAGTCCGCCGGCTAATGAACGACTTTGTGATTAGACTTTGGCTTCGGCTCTGTCCTAAAGCGCTGCAGGTTTGTGGTGAAAGTCATGAGTTCTTTTTTGGCAGGGTAAAAGTGCAGTTTGGAGTTCTGCAAATTCTAATGAGTGCTTTTGGGCCATCTAAATGGGTAAACACCTGCGTGTAATTGCGTGGAGCTCGGTGCTGTCAGCGCAGAGGAGCTGTCTCTGACAGCATATTCTCTGCCTGGCACATTTAATCCGTCAACATGCTCCGCGGCGACAAGAGCTCGAGCAGCTAAACCACATCTCGTCGTCTCAACTCGGCGGAAAACTCCATGCTCTGCCGAAAGTACACCCCAGGTCACCCCAGGCCTGACAAAGACAACACAGCGGTGTGATTTTAGGGCTCTTTAAAGAGTAATCTACATACATAACGCTGCAGGCATTAGGCCTATTCAATCATTTAGAAATGGAGAGCGTGCGGAGGGAAAAAGTTGACACGTCTAGAAAATACTCGCTGCGCCGGAGTATGAGAAAGCGAGTAAAGATGTTCCTTCCTGACAGATAAATAGTGAATGCATTAATTGAAGCGAAAGCAGAGTAAAAAATACATATGCCTTGTTTTTTTGTTTGTTTTGTCTTTTGTCTCGTTTAAAGGGATTGTTCACACACAAATGAAAATTGTGTTATCATTTACTCACCCTCAAGTTTTTCCAATCCTGTAGCCTAGTTTCTTTCTTCTGTTGAACACAAAAGATATTCTGAAGAAGGTTGGTAACAACCAAAAAAAATTTACTTTCATTGTATTTCCCCCCAATACTATGTACGTAAGGCTACCAGCAACTGTCTGCTTACCAACGTCGTATTGTGTGTTCAACAGAAGAAGAAAAACTACTACAGGTTTAGAACAACTTGGTGAGTAAATGAAATACTATGTACGTAAGGCTACCAGCAACTGTCTGCTTACCAACGTCGTATTGTGTGTTCAACAGAGGAAGAAAAACTACTACAGGTTTAGAACAACTTGGTGAGTAAATGATCACAGAATTTTCATTTTTGGGTGAACCATCCTGTTAACGCTCTCGTGAATAAAGAGGAGAGCTTTAGCACCACTTGTCGTTGATTTGCGACAGTTGATGGCGATTAAGATATTTGGTACGAGTTTCTGAAAAAATAACAGTCCTGCGTTATTTTGATTTTTTTTAACAGTCCTGCGTTAGCACATACGCATAGCTCGTTTTTAGTTTTTTTTAGTTTAGTTTTTTTAAAGCTGTGCACCATTTGAAGCATGTTTTGGTATTCTAAAAGAGCTAGTTAAAAGAGTGTGTTAAGCATGTGATTGCTTATTGCTAGCGCGGAGAAATACAAATCCCTCAGTGGCACTTACTATAAAGGAAAGAGTAAAACTATTGACTACATCCATACATTAGCACATAGAAAGATTTAAAAGAACCACGCTCAACTTTTACAGATATATATATACAAGAACATTACCTTGCCAAATCTTCCATTAAGGACAGTGAAAGAGAGATCAACTTCATAAGAGCCTTATGGGAAACAGTCCCGTTTCCTAACAATATCCATTTAGCTTACTGGAAATGCAGTTTGGTTTGTTTGAATATCTAAGGCTTTATCATGCAATTGTTTTTTATTTTGTTGATGGATATGAAGACAGCATGCATAGATTTATATATATGTGTATAGGCTATATTTGAAGATCTTCTTTGCTGACCCAAGCGTTGATTTATTTATGTTCTATGTACAAACTGTCAACAATATACCCTAAAACCTGCACTTTAATATCCAGGTTGCAAAAGAGGGCACTGAGCCCCATCTTAACACATCTCTGCTGTCTGGAGGCGGCAACTCTTGATGACTTTTTTTTATTTTTTATTGTGCTGTTCTTTCATTCTTAGTGGCAAAACACAACTGTGACAGATTTTCAACTGAATGAAAAAGTCTCAAATTGTCTGATCCCAAAAGAATGATGCCTCTTTTAAAAGCTTTTAAAGAGCCTCTACATTTCATAAGAAATGAATGAAGCACTTGTTTTACAATCAATAAACTAATAAAGCAGGGAGGAGACTGATAGTCAGCCTGCAGTACTGAAATACTGTTGTAATACTACAATACTGTATTTAGTAGCGTGTTGTTCTAACTCACAAGAGTAAATGTCACAAGCGAAGAGATTCTGTCACCGTTTGTCTCACGTTCAGTAGTTTTTCTCTATGCATACTGCTTTGCATTTCCTGATCTCTCAAGTTATGGACAACAAATGAAACCTTTTTATATTAAGATGCATAGAGTGGAGGCAGGTCACAGACTCTGATAGAGAGCTGCATAATGTCCGTTTTTTTAAATTTTTTATTAAGGGCTCAGATGAAACTTCAGTGTGATATTTTTTTCCCAACCTGTCCACCAGGCAACACGCTGTAACTCTTGAAGGATAACTGCTAGTCGAAAGAAAGAACAAAACCTGCTTCACACCATGCTGTCAGTTTGAGAAAATGAGCTCAAATGATCTCTGAGGAGAAGATAGACAACTGTAATGATGTAATGGTCCTGCTACTTTTCAGAGCCATTTTTCAAAAGGAGAGAGAGACGAGACTGCAAGGGAGGGAGGAGGGGGAGGAGGGAGGAGGGAGAGGAGGGTGGGGGGCGAAATTCTAAAAAATAGAAAATCAAAAAAATCAGTATCGTTCAGTCCCGTCGCTCGATTCGAGTCCAGATTAAAAGCATGGCAGGCTGGTTTAGGCTGGATCAGACCAAACTGACTGGCTCATATGGCCTGGGTGGGGTTGATATGGATGAGTGGTTCAGGGGTGTAGTCTTGTCATTTGTGAAACAGGATTGGTTTAGACAGGCCGGCGAGGATCTTTGGCACCTGGACCGAGACTATTTCTGCAATCATTTCGGGAAAGCTGACCTTTGTGGGCAAGGACCGAGCTTGGACAAAGAGGTCAAAGGTGAACTGGTGCAACTTCTGAACAATCTGGGTGAGGGAGAGAAAAAGAGAGAGATAAAGAGAGACAAGAATAAGCAAAATGACCAAATGAAAAACGGAAGGGATAGAGAAAATCATAGCATGTTTAAGGAAGAATTCACTAAGAATTGTGCCTGTCAATTGTGTCATTATTTCCATGTGCTGCCTGTGTTGTTTTAGAATCAGATTTACTAAAGGAATTATGTAAATCAGTTAATGGTGCAAACACAGCCAAACAATTAGCAGTGAACTCAATGCACATCTTGCAGTTCCCCATCTCAGGCTGGTTCTGAGCGTTCAGTTGTGGACAATGCAGCAGACTACCACAATCTGGCATAGTATACTGCGATTGTACAGCATTCACCTGAATTGGCTCTTTAAAATGCTGAAAATTTGATTACCCACATTCTATCTTCTTTTGTGTCCAGCAGAAGAAAGAAAATCATACAGGTTTGAAACAACTTCAGGGTGAGTAAATGATGACAGAATTTTCATTTTTGGGTAAACCATGCTAAGGGATGAATGATCCGATAACATGTATACCTTGAATGCAATGTATGTCGCTTCGGATCAAAGCATCTCCCAAATGCAAACGGCTGAGTATTGTGAATTAGATGCATCAGTAATGAGCCTAATTTACATAGAATGGTGTGTTTGCACTGGAATGAATGACAACAAATGAATTTAAATATAGTGCAGGATATTTCAGTGCATTTAGCACTTGGTTAAACTGGATTGCAGATTGTTAGTGATCAAAATGCATGCATACAAAAGTAGCACAACTTTTTAGTGAATTTGCCTGTAATTGTCTTATTTGTGTATGGATATATGAATAAAACTTAATACTACTGACACCAAACATTTGAACGGTAGGGTCTCATGGGGCCATTATTGCATCTAACAAACAAATCATTAATGCTTGGTGTATGGTGCCTCTATGTGTGTTTTTTGTGTATGTGTTACTAACTGGTTGCAGTGAGTCCATCAATCGGGTCAGCTGATGGAAGCGCATGGCGCAGTTGGTCTTCCTGCCATAGTTGATTAAACGATCAAGCTCGTTTATATATGTCAGACGCAGCTCATCAAAATACTTCTGACTCTTCAGCCCCTCCACTGGAACTGCAGAAACGGAAATAAAAACGTTCACCTGAACTTGCATACACTTGGAAAATGTACACCTTGAATGCAATGTATGTCGCTTCGGATCAAAGCATCTCCCAAATGCAAACGGCTGAGTATTGTGAATTAGATGCATCAGTAATGAGCCTAATTTACATAGAATGGTGTGTTTGCACTGGAATGAATGACAACAAATTAATTTAAATATAGTGCAGGATATTTCAGTGCATTTAGCACTTGGTTAAACTGGATTGCAGATTGTTAATGATCAAAATGCATGCATACAAAAGTAGCACAACTTTTTAGTGAATTTGCCTGTAATTGTCTTATTTGTGTATGGATATATGAATAAAACTTAATACTACTGACACCAAACATTTGAACGGTAGGGTCTCATGGGGCCATTATTGCATCTAACACACAAATCATTATGCTTGGTGTATGGTGCCTCTATGTGTGTTTTTTGTGTATGTGTTACTAACTGGTTGCAGTGAGTCCATCAATCGGGTCAGCTGATGGAAGCGCATGGCGCAGTTGGTCTTCCTGCCATAGTTGATTAAACGATCAAGCTCGTTTATATATGTCAGACGCAGCTCATCAAAATACTTCTGACTCTTCAGCCCCTCCACTGGAACTGCAGAAACGGAAATAAAAACGTTCACCTGAACTTGCATACACTTGGAAAAAGAGCATGTCATTAAAAATGTACTTATGTTGTGTTGATGCATTGTGATAATGGTGTTGTTTGTTTTTAATACAAATAGCAAATACACTACAAATAGGGTACGAAGGGACTAAAATGCTTAAAATAATCAGCTTTTTTAATAAATGCCCAGCGAAAGGAAGTACTTAACCTTCAGGAAGTCAAACTCAATTTTATATGAGCTTTATTTTCTATACATTTAATAAGAGGTTTGAAAATTTTGTGACCCTGTTACCATAATGTAGGACATTTATGCAGTTTAAAAGACTGTATTTTGTGTAATTAATATTTTCTAGCATACCCATTAAATAACATCAATATTCCATTATATACAAACAGCTAAAATAAAATATCAAATTATGTATAAATTAAGCTATCTCTCGGCAGTTTATTTGGGGCAAATTTTTTGTTCATTTATAATTATATGTTTTTTTGTAATTGGGGAAAATCATGCAGTAACAGGGTTGAGCACAAAATATGAGACACCGCTACAATTTGAGGTTTTGGCATTAAAAATAGTTCATTAAAATAATTGATACTGCAGTGATTAAATATCAATTCACAAGATTGTAAAAAATTGATTTGATTTGCTGAATACAGTGTAAAAGTTTTCTGGACAGGCTTATGTCAGCATTTCAAGATGCTGGATATAGACATTTTATGCTAGCTACTTGAAGAGCTTGGCTCATTTTATGTTAGATAAGTTTATATAAAACAGTACTTTCTCACAACAGAAAACAGGAAATATGCCTCTAATTATTATTATGATTATTTTTAATCTGTCATTAGGTGTTAGTATCCATAAGTACTTTGGCAGAAAAAATCTGTTCTGAACACACACACACACAGCAGTAGACTCACTGATGCTGAAAAGAAGGAGGGCCTTCATGCAGAGGAACTCTTCCTGTGTGACCTGCAGCAGCACAAACTCCTGCGAGAGGTGCTTCATCTGAACACAGTGCTCGTACATGCTGGAGATATGCATCCTATGGCTGACAAATAGGGGGCAGATTATTTGACATACACAGAGAGAAAGAAGCAAACAAAGAAACATCTGACAATAACAACAACTTTTCAACACCCGCTAATTACAAAGCAGTACTGAATAATGTGGTCAGTCATCTAATGACTCCCAGATCTCTCACTAAATGAAATGTATTTCATGCCCACAACACAAATTCTGTCAGCAGTAGTGGTATGGGATACAGCCAAGATGCATTTTAGAAGTAAGTCTTCTATTTCAGATATTGGTGAAAAAGGCCATTGAGAGCATGTGAGCCCCCCTAAAAAATCCAATCTCTCTTGGGATTGTGTTTGTGACAAAGATCCTCCTTGGAAGCATCCACGACAAGACTTATTGTGTGCATGAAGTACAAGATATGTACCTGCTCGAGAGAGAGAGAGAGAGAGCAAGATAGAGATGGAATAAGGTAGAGAAAGGGCCGCTGAGGAGAAATGAAAGAAAAATAAGTGTGAAGAAAGATGGATTAGTACATTTACAAAAGACAAACAAATGGACAGAAGAAGAAAATGGAATGAGAGAGAGAAGTCAACAATGCAGAACACAGATGGGTGCCGGACACAAAAGAAAACAGGCAAATAAGAGCAGAGCGGATGTGAAAGAAAATGAGACTGACTCATTGAAGACCAGGTCTGGCGCGAAGTACAGCATCCGCGCGTTGGCATTCTTGTAGGACCTCCAACCCAGAGCAAAGACCATCACTCCCATCCAGGTGTGTTGTATGACCGTCATCTGATCATCCACATGCAGGTTACGGAAACCTGACAGGTGGAAAAGATGGGAGAGATATTTGTGGTTTGTGCTTGCTGCCTATAGCTTATAGTTTGTCAGCTGCTTGGGTGCTTTTTTTAAACTTCATTTACGACTCTATTTCAGCTCTTTCAGCTCATGCCATGAATCAGACTTCATATATATATGCATGTCCAACCAAACAAACCAATCAAAACAATATGTTGAAGGCCAGGCAGCCTATGCACCGCTTTCAGGAAACAAAGGGGAAACACGCTTAAAGGGTTAGTTCACCAAAAAATTTAAATTAGCCCATAAAATGACTCACCCTCAAGTCATCCTAGGTGTATATGACTTTCTTCTTTCAGACGAATCCAGTCTGAGGTATATTAAAAATTGTCTTTCAAGCTGAAAAAATTATCTTTCAAGCTGTTTCATGGCAGTCAGCGGGTGTTGCATGCATCAGTCCAAATGAAGTTAAATAAAAAGTGCCCATCCATGCGTTTTTGTAAGAAAAATATCCATATTCAAAACGTAATAATCACTTTAATGTAGCTTGCGCTCACTGTTGTACACAGAAGCAGTTCCGGGCGGATGACGTATGGAGGTCAGCTTTGCGCATGCGCTGCTCAGAAGTGACGAACGCGGAAGTGCAGCGGAGAGATTAAAAAAAAACAACGGTCACTTATTAGAAGTACAAAACGAGGATTTGTAAAGAAGAATTTCGATATAAGCCAAGAGGAGACTGGTTTTCCTCTGCTAAAGTAAGGAAACTTTGCTTCCTTTGCTCCTGTTAACAAACATTGGTTTTCACGAGACTCACCGGCACATGCGCAACACTGAACTCATACCTCATCAGCCCGGAACTGCTTCCATGTAGGACTGTTGGCGCAAGCTACATTAAAGTGATTATTACGTTTTGAATATGGATATTTTTCTTACAAAAACGCATCGATTCGCTACAGAAGGCCTTTGTTCACCCCCCGGAGCTGTGTGAGACACTTTTTTTATGGATGGGCGCTTTTTATTTAACTTCTTTTGGACTGATGCATGCAACACCCGCTGAGTGCCATTAAACAGCTTGAAAGATCAAAGACAATTTTTAATATAACTGCGACTGGATTCGTCTGAAAGAAGAAAGTCATATACACCTAGGATGACTTGAGGGTGAGTAATTTATGGACTAATTTGAATTTTGGGGTGAACTAACCCTTTAACTTTCTGGCATAAACTTGATCTCTCTTCCCTCTTAACACATTCATCACTGGATTCAGTGGAGATTAAAATGCCAGGCCTCACAGTTTTAATAATGCTATCAATAACAGGAAATTGGAAAACCACAACAAATCACATCACCCTGATTCTATCAACCAATCACACACTGTCACAATATGAGCTTCAAAAAACAAGCCACACCCCTTTCTCCCCTACTGCTGTTTTTCTCTCAGTATTTGATGTTTTACTATTTTAGTATGACTGAAGTCTGCCTTTGCTTGGATTTATTAAACCCATTAGAATTAAGTACATTATACAACACCTCTCAAGCCTCTGAATTGGAAATACAAACTATAATTAAATCACTGAGAAAAAAAGCAACACCCGCTGAGTGCCATTAAACAGCTTGAAAGATCAAAGACAATTTTTAATATAACTGCGACTGGATTCGTCTGAAAGAAGAAAGTCATATACACCTAGGATGACTTGAGGGTGAGTAATTTATGGACTAATTTGAATTTTGGGGTGAACTAACCCTTTAACTTTCTGGCATAAACTTGATCTCTCTTCCCTCTTAACACATTCATCACTGGATTCAGTGGAGATTAAAATGCCAGGCCTCACAGTTTTAATAATGCTATCAATAACAGGAAATTGTAAAACCGCAACAAATCACATCACCCTGATTCTATCAACCAATCACACACTGTCACAATATGAGCTTCAAAAAACAAGCCACACCCCTTTCTCCCCTACTGCTGTTTTTCTCTCAGTATTTGATGTTTTACTATTTTAGTATGACTGAAGTCTGCCTTTGCTTGGATTTATTAAACCCATTAGAATTAAGTACATTATACAACACCTCTCAAGCCTCTGAATTGGAAATACAAACTATAATTAAATCACTGAGAAAAAAAAAACTCTCCACTGATGTCCCGACTTCACCAGGCAGGATCTCCATCTTGTTATTATACTATTGTGTCAATGAATATTAAGTGTGTTACAGATAAAGAAAAAGAAAGATCCTTTAAAAATCTAGTTTCTACAAAAATTACTTTTTGTATTCATGTTGGTTTCATGTGGTATTTAAAAACATTTAATAAAAATAAAAAAAGAGTAAAAACAAATATTTTCATTACACTTTAAAAACATGAGTATACGCATTTTAATCATTATTTTCAGAAATAGTTTTAATTATATCATTGAAGGTAAAAAGTTATTATTATTATTATTACTACTACTTTTTGCAAACATCATTAACTATTAATTCATATATATATCAAGTGTTTGGTTGCATCGCATGACATTTTACTAACCTTGTTTTGTAATGAAAAAGTCAAATGATCAGATTTAAGAGACTGACTGATCTTTAAAAAACATGAGGATCTGCAGGGGTCCTCTCGTTACCTGTTTAAAGTTTCTGCATGATGTTGGACCACATGACTAATTTGGTGGACAAAAGCTTTTAAATAATAAGCAGTAAAGCAGTGTTGTTGAAATATATATATTTTTTCTTCAAATAAATGATAACAAATTAATATATCAAACTATTTAAAAAAAAAAAAATTTTTAACAAGGCTTTTTTACTTCATTGTGATATCTTGACCTTTTTGATTATATTTCCATCAAAAAATATAAAAATAAATTTTTGATCCAGAAATGAAAAGCATGCTCATCATAGAAGAGGTGAAATCAAATTTGTGTACAATCATGTCACTGACCCCTTTATAAAAAGCAAAACAGCATAACTGGAATAAGTGAAAATTTGATATGCTTAAATTACCTGGAAGTCCTTTGGCCCACTTCACTACCTTGACAAGTTGCCTCTCTCCCAACTCGTTAAGGCTGGTGAGGAGTGCAACTGCTGAGTCAGGCTGAGCGTGATCATGGCCGGCGTTCACCACCTCGGGCTCGATGGCCTCCAGGATGTTCAGGAAGATCAACTGTGAGTGGAACGTCAGGCTTGGCTTGGGCGACATGCACTGGACTGTCTCTGATGGGCCCTGAACGGGGCCGACCTCCTCCGGACCTTTCATCTGTCCGATCTTCCTCAGCTTGCGGGCTGCAGCACAGAACAAAAGCAATATACTGTAATAAACCGAGTGGGAGTACTGCTTTGTAAATTCAACCTGCGCAAAAACACATTATTAATCTGGAACACTTCTTTATTTTATCTAGCACATATTATTTAGGAGGCAATGAACCAGGTGGTCTCTGAATAATGAGGTTGGCATGATCTTATTGCTGCTCTTGAATATCTCTATTATACAACAGAAGATAAAAGCTGCACTGCGACGACTAGTCTCTCCGCCACATTATCTCCTGCCAGTCAGCACAAAGAAAGATTACTGGCCACAAAACACACCTGAGACAACGTACTTTTTCCTCAGCTGCCACTACAACAAAGAACTTGACAGGATTAGCGTAACTGTGTTGATATATTTCAGTAAGGTGGAGCAGAACAACAATCATTCAAGGATGCAAAACATGCATTGTTCACCTAATACTTGCGGATGTACGTTCTTGCACCAGAAACACCCATTAACTATGCACAACAGAGGAAAACCATCTGTATTCTGAGGGTGCTGCTAATAAAGTGAATTAAATGAAGATGTAAATATGAGTGTGTGCGTGCATGTGCTTTTATTAGTTGCTACAGTAGAAACAGTTTTGCTTCTGCTCCAGCGAGTGCCTGTGGTTTTGTTATGATGCCTAACACTCACAGTTTCCACTCTGAATTATAAATCAGAGATGCTCATTATTCAATGGGCAGCGTTTGGGTGAGGAATGAAAGACTTTTTACAACTCGCAGACTTTAATGGCGCATTATGAACACCGATCCAAAATGTAAAAAACAAGTTCTATTAAGAAAAAAACAAAGAATAATCTGTGAGGCAGCTGATTTAAAATGCCTAAAAAGCTCTTTGTTGCTGGCTAAGAGGACAAACTCGAAATGAAAATGAATCAGCCCTCTGAGATCCCCACAAAAAGAGGGCTCCAATTTTGCTGACGAGAGACCGGAGCCGCTCTGCTTGTGGTCTAAAATGAAGTGTGGTAAAGAGATAGGGAGAGAGAGTGAAATTATAATTTTACCCTGAGATGGTTTATCAAAAGCCTATGGGTTTGCGGTAAACTTGTGGCAAGGTACCAGAGACACCACCACCGAGATTCTCTCTTCAAAAGACACATAAACCTGCCATTCTAGCTAATACAAGCAAAAATATAATATGGATGGCAAATACAGCAAAAATTGCTGCTGCAAAACACTGTCTCCTACACCTAGATTTGCTGATGTGTCTTCAGTATGGAGTAGAACTGAGATATGAAGCGTATGTCCGAGCTTGCTTCAGCTTCAAACAGGCTCTAGAAAGACTGAAAATTAAAAGAAAGACCTATAATTCTATATATTCTGCAATGTTAACATTCAGAGTAGGGACTGTGGCAAATATAAACCAATTGTGCTAATCAGCTTTGCATTGCAATGGCTTCAGATGCAAGTTTAAACAAGTATACGCCATATCCAGTACTCCTAAAAAGATCAAGTCCAGCCATGAGAGAAGATGCATCATCACGTTATCTCTAAAATGAAACTGACTCAAATGGGCGATTCTAAAACTCAAAACTTTGTAAACACATGTGAAGTCATCCAGTGGAGTTTCTCTGGAGGTGAGTAATTGGGTAAATGGTGTCGTTGACTAAATCATCTTGAGCAAGAACTGGAGGAACAAGGTGAATGTGTTAAAACTTCACAGATGAGTGAGAAGCCAGCACTCAATAGCGAATGCCATAGATAAGTGAACAGTTTTCTGTTACATGAGAGAAAGCGTTTTGTTTCAGAGTTTTGGCATTCTGGGCTCCACTCAGAATCTGTGAAAAGTTTTGAATGATGTGAACTTTAAGCCATAATGACAGATATGTGCATAAAGACTTCTGTCTCTCACTGGCAGAAAAACAGTTTTGGGACTTTTCGGGAATAAGTAACTGGATGCTATAAAGTCTTAAAAGTGTTTTAAACGTAGGCATGAACTGACAGACCATTTGTGAGAATGAACAAACAACAAATCAACAAATAGAGAATTTTGGAATACGTGTTTGTGAAGAAATGTGATTATAAACTGAAAAAAAAGTGCATTTTCCAAAAAGTTTTTTTCTCTTTTCTATTCTTTCCTCTGTCTGTCTGTCTTTCTTTTTTGAAAAAAGTCTCTGCTTTAAAATTGTCAATTTTAATAGAAAAAATGCCACTCTTTAAGGTGCCACTCTATATTTATTAATTATCAAAAAAAACTTAATACTTAGAGGCCATTTTAGAAAAAATAATTATATACTTGTCAGAGACTTTCCTTTTTTATTCTGTGGATAAAACTCAAATGTGTTTCTGAATCAAAATGACTGTGGGTGAGCAGGTTAAGCAAAGTGAGCAGATTGCATATATAGTGAGCATAAAAGCCTTCAAGTAGGTCAAATGTTCAGGAAAACCCAAATTAAGAAAACATGTAAGAGAAAACTTCAAATAGACAGACGTGTTACATTGCAGCTAAAATCACACAATTTTAGCCCCACAAGTGATACCTGATCCCCCTGTCAGGGTTTATTTTTGACTGTACATGACCTCTTCTGTCATGTTTGAATGTTTGATTTCTCTATATGGTTGTCACGACTTCTGAGTAGGTGTGATTATTTGCACAATGATGGTATTTTGTGAAGAAAACCGTACAGAGAAAAAAAAGCTGATCACATTACACCAGGGACTCATTATTTCTGAGCTGTTTACTAAGACAACAATTCCAACAAACACGACCACAAAGAAGAGAAAGGATGAGACAAAGAATAGTGCTAGTGTGACAGTATGAGTAAGCGAGACAGATAGGATGCATTTAGTTGTAAATTGATCCACAGTGTCATTTGAGTCCAAAAGGTGAAACGCGAGTCACAAAATTCAAACGTCCGCTTGTCTACTGCCATCTGCTTTGTTCAGATGCTCAGTGGCCACAAACAGATGTATTGTGTGTGATGGTTTTACAACCACATTTGTGTGCTGTCTACTATTTGTTTTTGTCAACAGGACGATTAAGGTTTTAGTTGCACAACTAAACATTTCAACAAAAACAAATGAACAAAAAAGCCAAATAAACCCTCAAAACAAACTAAATAACACACAGTGTAGATTTACATAGCTATTGAGTTTTAGGTTTATTTTAATAATAAGGAAAAACATTTTAAAACACGACCACAAAGAAGAGAAAGGATGAGACAAAGAATAGTGCTAGTGTGACAGTATGAGTAAGCGAGACAGATAGGATGCATTTAGTTGTAAATTGATCCACAGTGTCATTTGAGTCCAAAAGGTGAAACGCGAGTCACAAAATTCAAACGTCCGCTTGTCCACTGCCATCTGCTTTGTTCAGATGCTCAGTGGCCACAAACAGATGTATTGTGTGTGATGGTTTTACAACCACATTTGTGTGCTGTCTACTATTTGTTTTTGTCAACAGGACGATTAAGGTTTTAGTTGCACAACTAAACATTTCAACAAAAACAAATGAACAAAAAAGCCAAATAAACCCTCAAAACAAACTAAATAACACACAGTGTAGATTTACATAGCTATTGAGTTTTAGGTTTATTTTAATAATAAGGAAAAACATTTTTCTTATTATTTCTGAGCATTGTGTGTTATATTGATTTTTGTAGTCATATATCTTATTGTGTTTGCATTAATATTTAATCAAATGTAATGTGATTACGCTGTTGAAATGATAAAATATAAAGGTGATATACAGCATGTTAAAAGGGAATAATGAAAAATCACATTATATACTGATTAAATGAACAGAAATGCATTTTAGACTTGTAATGGTTAGTCCACCTCTGCCTTTGTCATTGCATTAAATACCTGAAATCAGATGACTAAAACAATAAGAAAATCTATAGGACGCCTTATATAAACATCAGGGCCATCCGTTACTAAGCTGAGTCTGAGCTGTAAGTGGACCTGAAATATGATACGTTCTGCTAGAAGAAGTGAGCAAACATTTAATTAGAAAATAGACTAAACTGTTATGAGACTGACAAATTACGAAAAACACCAGTAGTTTTAAGCCAAAGCTATAAACTCATTTAAAAGGACCTTTTTCACTGTTACTTAAACACATGTAGGCTAATTAACTAAATATGTTTAAAGTTCTTAATATTCTCTAAAAGTTAGGCCTAATGCATATATCTAATCGGACTCTTTGATATCCATGCTCAATTCACAGACACACACGTTTACTAAACAATCTACATGAAAACATACCAAAGACTTAATTTTTTTTTATATATAAGCTAATTATAAAGACTACAGACCTACCCACAGCACTACTGCTAAAAGAAAACTAGGCCATTTGCTTTTTAGAATAATTTTTATCCTAAATCAGCACTTCCATAAATGACTACAAAGGCAGGTAGTCTCCAAAGTATAGCGAAGTAAAACTGCACAAAGACACACACACACACACACACGTTGGTATATGTGGTTTACGGGCAGTGGTGTAGTCTAGTTTTTTGTAGTGGGTATACTCTGATATTCCTCCCAGCCTCACACTCTCCGTGCCACAGCAACATCCCATAAGCACCACCACACACACTAATTCATATAATATGCATCTATGTAACTGAGAGCATTCTGAAAGACTGCTTATGTGATATCAGCATGTCAATTTATTATAAGTAACAGAAGTCTTTAACAGCCACTGACATTTACAGCTGGGGAGACTGGATTGATTTCTTACTGTTTAGTGTTAATCATTTAACTCAGCCAGGTACATTTATCTTAAGAATATGGTCCCTGGAGAATAGGTTTTATCAGCTGGCAATTTTCAATGCACATTTAAGAGTGCCTGTTTTTAAATTCCCTAGCCTGACTTTCAGTCCACAAGTTTGGTCAGGAGTTCTCATCTCTCCCATCATCTGAAACAAGAAGATATAAACATTGTATTGGGTTTAACTGCTGTACAAACACACATATACAGTGTGTGTGTTATCTCTCGCCTTCTCCCGCATTCACTGATCCACCACACTAACGTTACTCAAGTTATTGGTTAGTTATGTTGGCTTGAGAAAGTAAAGACATACTGTAATACTATTTAAACTTCTTCTTCTTCTTCTGAGACCAGTAATTTTCAACTGTACTTTATATCCTCCTAGGGCTTTAATGCTACAGGCACCAAACTCATCAGAGACTTTGGACCTGATCTATAGTTTGTTTCTATATCTTTTCTAACTGATGAGACTTACAGTTTTCGTATATAAATAATTATCCAAAATCAAAGGTTTCCCATAGACTTGCATTACTAGCTGAGCAAAAATGCTCTCTCTAGAGGACAACTGCAGTCCACTAGAGGGAGCCACAGGATAAGAAATCTTTCAACTCCCCTCATTTACTTTCGTTTTCAGACAGTTAAATTTACAAATAATTGCATACTTTTCCTTTATGCCGCCAAGCAAAGCTAACATATTTGATCATGACTAGGCCAGGTAGTGACTATCTGATGTCCAGAGGCCAGTGTGAAAGACGTTCGAGACAGTTGACTGATCTGTCACTGCTCCGATGGGGCAACTTGTGCGTCCTCACCAAACATAATAATTTGCACGTTTTTAAGACTTGCCAATTAAAACATTCAAGCGATTCGTGTCATCTACTGTAGCTGAAGCATCAGCAGCTTCAGGGGCAGGCTTACGAAAACACTGAAAGAGTGTAGTTTGAGTTTGCTTTCGTTTCATATCTCCTTTAGTGATTCACATTCAATGCTGCGCAATAATAGCACTGGTCATCAACAGAAACACAGCGTGATTTTCAAAAAGTAGGTGCTTCGCAACTTGGACGGGTGTGACTAATGTGTGAAAGTTCTGTTACAAAAAGTAACTGTTTTCTGTTTTCTGTTTTTATACTGTACAAACTGTATTTTCTATTGCCCTACACCAACCCTACACCTAAACCTACCCCTTACAGGTAACTTTGTGCATTTTTAGATAAAAAAAAAAAAACACCATTTAGTATGTTTTTTAAGCCTTTTAAATTACGGGGACACGGGAAGTGTCCTCATAAACCACCTTCATATTGTAATACCTGTGTCATACCCATGTCATTATACAAATGTGTGTCCTCATAAACCACATAAACACACACACACACACACACACACAAATTTACCAGTAATTTATGGAGAAAGACCTTCTTAATGAAAAAGTCAAATCAAAAATCAAAACCAGATGGGAAGTTTACCAAAATAAATAAATAAAAAATGAAATTTGATAACCATCAAAGCATCTGTGTTGTTGGTGTGTTTAAAGCAAAAGAGTAAAAGCTGCTTTGCCTGATGACTATATGCAGACACACATACAGTATACATATACATATCTCTTAAGTACTCTCCAAGGTTGCATTTATTTAATCAAAAACAGTAATACTGTGAAATATTATTACAATTTAAAATAACTGTTTTGTATATGAATATAAATGTAATTTATTCCTGTGATGGCAAAGCCGAATTTTCAGCAGCCATTATTCCAGTCTTCAGTGTCACATGATCCTTCGGAAATCATTGTAATGTGCTGGTTTGGTGCTAAAGAAACATTTCTTATTATCATCAATGTTGAAAAGAGCTGTGTTGCTTAATATTTTTGTGGAAACTGTGATACTTTTTTTTCAGAATTGTTTTGATCAATAGATAGTTCTGCTGTTTTACTAATTCTGCCATTTTAAGTTATACTTTTTATACTGGTTAAGATGTTATGAGGGGATTTAATTTGAACACTATACAGTTGAAGTTTGTCTGGCACAATATTGCCACAAAACCCACCTACAACCATTCTATACATTTAAAGATGCCTCCACATAACGCAGGTACCTAGAGAAGGAGCTGTACATTCACTTTTAACATACCTACACCTACAATCCAAAACCTTGAGTTAAACTGTCTCCAAGTTTCTGTCTGTAAACTCCCAGTGGCTCTTAAGTGAATTTTATATAATTCTGAAGAGAGATAAGATTATGAGGCAAACATTAATACATCAAAAATGAGCAATGAATAGGCCACAGTCCAGAGCCGGGGGGATCTGAGAACTGTCTCAGTTATCTACTTAGAACCAGAAAGATTTCACTTTTTTTATTCAAAAAAATAAACAAACAAAAAACGGAGTTCATGTGTCAGGAGAGGAAATAGGGAAGATGTGAGTCATCCGACACCACACTTTTATCACACACATGCACACACACATCCTCTGCAGTGCCATACACTGCTCCTGAAAGAAGCTGGTTTTACTGTCATTACACACAAAAGTTCTTTAAAATTCAGAACCTAGAGAAATCAGCACCTGCAACTGTCGGGGGCAAGTTACAAATTACACAAAACAGACTTTACTTAGGCTTTTGTCTTCAATAGCGGTATTGACAGCACTGACTTTTCTCGGCTAAAGTCCTGAACATTTTCTTCCTGCCTCGAACCTTGTTGCATTTTTTATTTCCAATGCTTGAGTCAGTGGTTCAGCGTCTGCTGTTTAGCTGGTCGAGCAACTTTTCTTTTGTATCTATTTTGACTAAAAATACACTGCAAAATATACTTTTTTCTTACTTAATAGAATTTATATTCTATACGGATTTGCCAAAATGTACACTCTGCAACACCTGACAAACCTAAACAATGTACATTCATTCATTTGCAAGTTAGAGGCAATTTGCGTATTTGAAATAAATAAATAAACAAACAAACAACTAAATAAATAAATGGTCACACTTTAGTTTAGGGACTAATTCTCACTGATAACTAACTATTAATCAGGACGTTGCCTCAATAAACTCATAATTTGTTGCTTATTAATAGTAAGGTAGTTGTTAAATTTAGGTATGGGGTGGGATTAAGGGATCTAAAATATGGTCATGCAGAATAAGGCATTAATGTGTGTTGTATAAGTACTAATAAACAGCCAATATACTAGTAATATTATATTATATAGTAAGACTTGGTCGCTACAATAAAGTGTAAATAAATAAATGGTATATTAAATAAATTATTGTTATATTGAATAAATAAATGTTATTAAATAAATGTTATATTCACATCCATTCTACAGCTGCACTGACCCACATGACACACTGTCTCATTGCATTTACAATTAAAATGCTCCTGATTACCAATCCAATGAATTACTCTCTTAATTCAATATATTACAGATTGTCTACAGGGTAGCAAATGAAAAAACACTCTGTTTGCTGTAAATCATTTGTTTTCAGGCCAATACTGCTAAAATAAATTACTGCAATTCAATAAGTCAAATGATTATAAATATTGTTTTTTTTAAGCAGTGTCAAAGCATAACTCAAAATTACTGTCATATTTTTGCAATCTATATAACCTTTAACATTTTTAGGAACTGAACCATATGAAAAGTTTTTTCCTCCTGAAAGAGCAACTTGTGGCATGTCCTGTTTTTCCATTTCTACATGTAGTTTAAGTAAAATACGGCTAAACTTTGCGCTGAACTGGGGGAAAGGATGAAGGATACTTGAAATTCATTAACCCCTTAACTGTCACACCCCCCCCCCCCCCCCCCCCCCCCATTTTTTAAAATAGGCATGCAGGGGCACTATCCAAACTTAAATTGTTGTAATTTATGAACACTTTGGAATACAGACATAAGTTCGGTCTCTTTTTAAAGAAGGCAATTTAAAAAAAAAAGTTATGGAAGTTTAAATTTACTGTAAAGAAAATTCACTATATTAATTTTATTTTATATATAATAAATATTTTACATAACAGGTTTTACTCTAAAATTGGTATAAAATTTAAATCTTATGTCTAAATAAGTTATGTTCCAAATTTGAAGTTTATATGAAAAAAAATTGAGGTTCCTGTGAGATTTTATTTAGGGCGTTATACCACAAACAGCCACAGGGTGCCATCCAAACTCCATTGAATTTTTTTAATGCATTTTTCTGTCACAAATGTCTACAGTTCTCTGTCAATATTACTTCTATCTCAAAATAAACCAAATATGGAATCCTGAGACTCAGACCTTTCCAATTATATGTTTTTTTTCAAGATTATAAAAAGGTTTGATTCTAAAAGACCGTAATGCATTTTGTAATATGACACTTGACACTGCCCACTAAGTGGGGGGAGACCACCAAAAGATTTTAAAGTACCATTTCCATGGTAACGCAATGTCCGATCCCAAAATGGTTTTCACAGGATGAATCTTGGGCTTCTAAGCTTTCAAATGATATATGATTTATGATGATTACTAAAAGATTTGATAGAGAAAAAGGACAACAAAAAAAGGAGCACCAAGCGTCCCACAGGTGGGACGGTGACAGTTAAGGGGTTTTAAGGGATAAAACCAATTGTCAAATAAAATCAAAAGAGGTGACAGTGGCACTTCCTCTGAAAATGATGTCAGCCAAGTTTGTACATAATCACATTAGAAAACGATGACTACAATTCACAGTTAGCTGGAGATCACAATTAGCTACGAGAGGAGTGCCACTGGCACTGAAGTTCCTCTGTTGGCATCTACAAGCAAGCAAACTTTTTGCTATACTGTACTGTCACCATGGAGAATGACGTGAATGTACCGTATTGACCCGAATATAAGACGATGTTTTTTTCTTGGAAATACATCTATAAAAAACGCGGTCGACTTATATTCAGGGTCTAGACTTTGACATGTCAATAATACACCCACAACAATAGGTGGCGCCAAATACGCATAAAACGAGTGTGCCACGAAATACGTAAATGCGTGTTGTAAAGATCGCGACCAAACTCCCTTCGTGATTTTAAAACTTAAGACAGTACCCAGATTTGAAGACTACAGTAAGTCTGTGTAAGCGTGTGTGTCTAAATGTTTTTCTCTTTAGATCAGTGCAGCTTTACAGCTTGTTTTACTGAGGATTAGGACCGTTCAGTGTGTGAAAAGATGAAAGATTTCTAATATTTCCACTAACAGGTTGCTACATTATCTTCTCTAAGTCCTTCTAAATCATCTGAGCTTTAGGTCATGTATAGCTGTTATTAGAAGCTGCTGAAAGTTTTTTTTCCCACCAGAATGATGGGTTGTCTCTTTATTTTCCCTCTTTTTTCCATTCTCTGTTCTGCTTTCTAGACATCATATCTCTTAACTTCCCCCTCTTAGACAAAAAGAAGATTTGATCAGATTATGACTAAAGCAGTAGATCTGAGGGGCCTTGGGGAGAGAGATTACCTGTGCTCCGTTGCACTCAAATTGATAAAATAGATAGTTCTGGCTTTGCTATCTGAGCCACATTCGAAGATGTAAAATACATCTTTGTCTGTACACACCCATATCTGTATGTCGATTGAATTCTACATTAATGCATCCCGATGTAAGTGGGATTCTTACACCCTAACCATGGTGAAACTAGTCTTCTTGAGTTTTATTGATTTAATAAAACACACATATAGAAAAGTTTAGAATGATAGGACCAGATTTACTAAACAGGGCAAATTAGCGTGAGAGCGCAATTCCAAAAAAGCGCTAATGGGGGTAGAAATTTCTGCGGGTGATTTACTGACAATGTGCTAATTAAAGAACACAGACGCAGCCAGATCATTTCCATAATGACCAACACAATCTACCAAGAGCAGCGAAAATTAGCGCCAGCTTTAAGACATGCTTTTTTGGAGCGTTAAATAATGGCGAAAATACCTGTAATTTGATGAGTGCAAACGTTAGTAATCACTTTGCGTGATTCATTTCAATACTTTCCTCCCATAAATTTTGCTTCTGAAAGGGAAACTTATACAAATTAATATTCAATAAGGTCAGGCGAAAAAATAACTGTGTCCACGCCTTTTCAGTGCTAATTCTTCACTGTGCATCTTTAGTAAATCCTGACAGTACTATTTTAATGCCAAAAGACTACACTGGCACAAGCTGTTAGTAAATCTGGCCCTTAGACTGAGAATAGAGGACTGAAATTTCCCCTGGAACGCCTCCGAAATACTATAAAATCACTCATACAAAACTGTCATATTAAAAGGCTGAATGGGAGCTATAAACATCAAATGCAGTTTAACTGTGTAATTGTTTAACGAGTCTGTATAATAAAGTGAGATTAAGGCTTTATTAATCTGTGGCAATGAGGTGTCCTGAGCCTTTACGAGTTTACAAAACAGAGAATAAGTGTTAAGACACTTGACAGAGACATTAATAGATCTATTGATGAGATCTGTTGAGAAATTTCCAAAACAAAATCATCTTATCTGAAAACAGAGGGGAAATAAAGTTAAATTATTAATGGTGATATCAAAGCTATCACGTTAATGCATGCAAATATTTCCTTTTTAAAATGTTTTTTTTTTTTTTTTTACATTAAAACTCATTCATTCTGTTGGGGCGATTTTCATTTTGAGGGGGCTCATTTCATAATAAAAAATAATAATAATAAATGAATAAATAAACTAATAGTGTAGGGTGGTATACTAAACTTATTGCAGTATTCCACTGTATTGCATAGATGGGTATAACATTTGAGTAATGAATAAGCCAAATACAAGTCTTCCTGATCTCTCTCTCACACACACCTGTTTACTGTACAAACACAAAATGTTAATGTTTGCATTTCTAATGCAAACCTCGTTCTATGCTCATGTCTGTCACTGTCTTTAATCATTTCTGTGCATGACTGTATGGTAGTTAATTGTTAATTTGCCGACGTTTTCATATGAACTTTAAAGGGGACTTGAGGCAATCATGAATTCGTGTACAGTTTATGGAGCTAATTGCAAAATTTTTAGAAATGGCCTAGTGATGCCCATGATTCTGGCTCTCTATAGTCAAGCACCTGGTAAATCACCTCTTATTTATAAATCAAAGTAAATAATTTCTTTAGATTTTGGAATTAATTCTTCATGCCAACAGTTAAATGGTTCACATCAAAATGAAAAGCCAAACAGCATGAGGGTGAGTAAATAATGACAAAATGTAAATTTCTTTAATACAGGAACGCTGCTTGTGCAAGCAAATGAGAGGTGATTAAAGAGTGCTGCTTCAAGAATTTACACTATGATTGTCATCTACACAACTTGCCAAACATAATAATAATAATAATACATGGACCTGTTATTTATTAGGATTCCTGAAAGATTATGGCCAATATAGATATTTAATGGACATTAAACCAAAATAAGATAAGCTATTCTACTGGGGGAAAAAACACCCTAAAATGAAAATATATTGTATATTTACTACAAGTAAATGTATCATAATAGTATGGAAGATGGATAAATAATTAGTTTGAAATATGCAAGAGAAAAGAATATACTGCTTCAATGAGACTTTTCTACGGAAGTCCTAAGATTAATTTTCTTATGATTTCGATATAACGAAAGTTGTTTTCTCGTTATCACGACTTAATTTTCTTATGATCTCGATATAACGAAAGTTGTTTTCTCGTTATCACGACTTAATTTTCTTATGATCTCGATATAACGAAAGTTGTTTTCTTGTTATCACGACTTAATTTTCTTATGATCTCGATATAATGAAAGTTGTTTTCTCGTTATCACGACTTAATTTTCTTATGATCTCGATATAACGAAAGTTGTTTTCTCGTTATCACGACTTAATTTTCTTATGATCTCGATATAACGAAAGTTGTTTTCTCGTTATCACGACTTAATTTTCTTGTGATCTTGACATAACAAAAGTTGTTTTATCGTTTTCACGACTTAATTTTCTCGTGATCTCGACATAAAAGTTGTTTTCTCGTTATCACGACTTAATTTTCTTCTGATCTTGACATAACGAAAGGTGTTTTCTCGTTATCACGACTTAATTTTCTTGTGATCTTGACATAACGAAAGGTGTTTTCTCGTTATCAAGACTTAATTTTCTTGTGATCTTGACATATCAAAAGTTGTTTTCTCGTTATCAAGACTTAATTTTCTTATGATGTCGATATAACGAGTTGTTTTCTCGTTATCACGACTTAATTTTCTTATGATCTCGATATAACGAAAGTTGTTTTCTCGTTATCATGACTTAATTTTCTTGTGATCTCGACATAACGAAAGTTGTTCTCTAAGTTACACAACTGCGCCAACGGGTGGCAGTATAGACCTGAATATAACGTGTTTGGGACAAAATAAGGACCTTCTTCGTGATCGCTATAATTTGTGCAGTATTGTTTATTACTGACATTTAATTAATTCATAAATGTTAAATGCTTGAATCAATATGATTATTTTGTGTATCGTTAAGTTCTTGCTAGATGCGTGACTCATCACAGTTTCACCACCGCAATAGCTTTCCGTGTCATAAACTGCTTATTAAAACCAAGGTTGACGTCACTGTATTCTGTTTGCACCTATATCTTTATTTGTGCATCTTTGAAGTACATGATTGTTAGTTAATAAGTGGGGATGTTGTGTTTATCTAGGAGGCGCTTCAACAACATATTTGTAATGTGCATCTTTTCCTTATTTTTTATCTTTATTGTTAATCATTAAATGTATATTGATAAGAAATATGATACAGTATAAGAGTGCACGGTTTATCTGTCGATCAGATGTGCGCCGTTGCGTTCGTTACTATAGCAAAAGTAGATCAAACAAATCAAACAATCATTGTAAAAAAACAACTTTCGTTTCGTCGAGATCACGAGAAAATTAAGTTGTGATCAAGAGAAGACAAGAAAGAAAAATATTAATTGAATCAATATGATTATTTTGTGTATCGTTAAGTTCTTGCTAGATGCGTGACTCATCACAGTTTCACCACCGCAATAGCTTTCCGTGTCATAAACTGCTTATTAAAACCAAGGTTGACGTCACTGTATTCTGTTTGCACCTATATCTTTATTTGTGCATCTTTGAAGTACATGATTGTTAGTTAATAAGTGGGGATGTTGTGTTTATCTAGGAGGCGCTTCAACAACATATTTGTAATGTGCATCTTTTCCTTATTTTTTATCTTTATTGTTAATCATTAAATGTATATTGATAAGAAATATGATACAGTATAAGAGTGCACGGTTTATCTGTCGATCAGATGTGCGCCGTTGCGTTCGTTACTATAGCAAAAGTAGATCAAACAAATCAAACAATCATTGTAAAAAAACAACTTTCGTTTCGTCGAGATCACGAGAAAATTAAGTTGTGATCAAGAGAAGACAAGAAAGAAAAATATTAATAATCCATGGCCTCTTAGGACTTCCATACTGTTCACTTTTGTGTGACTTTCTTTCTTCTGTGGAACACAAATAAAAGCATTATGAGAAACACTGGAGTCCAAAACAATATTGGACCCTGTTGACTCATTGTATGGACAAAACTGTTCAAACAATCTTCACATATCCTTTTTTGTTTCACAGACAGAAGAATGTCATGCAGTTTTGGAATAACATCATTTTGGTTTAACTATCCAAGTTGATGCTAGATGATGATCTTAAATAAGCAGAAATAATTAAACATCCAAATATCAGTTGATACTAAATGAAAAAAAGTACAATGCAGTTGTGTTGGATTAAAATAATTTAATTGATTGATTAATTTTTAACTATTATTGATTAAACATTTTCTTTTCTCTCCAAATTTTTTAAATATCTTTTTTAGAACACATATGAGGGGAAAATATCTCCCCTTTTCGGATCACATGTATTACAATATATTATTTTGCTGTCCACTAAAGAAATATTAGTAAGGAGGAATCAGCATTGTGGTATTTCAGTATTTTGGGCTATGTGCCAAACCACAGCCATATAAAATCACTGCTGCTTTCCATATTCAAAAGAAACAAGGATCTTAAAAATCAGCCTTCTGATGAGAAGGAGTGATTTAGAGACAGAGTGACCATGTAAATCCCATGGATATAACAGCGGCATCCAGATACACACTAAACTGCTAAGTGAGTTTATTACTGAAACTAAACAGCTGTTATAAAAATAAATACAACTGGTAAAAGACTGAGACACATAAAATTATACGTTACTAGTTATACTAACACAAAGACCACAGCTTCTGATATGTATGAGAGTAATGAGCAAAAAAAAAAAAAAAAGTATGAGTACTGCGTATTGTTTCTTGTCTTCTTATAACTGTGACAGATGATCATCCTCCCCTTTTAACATCATCACTATACTCAGGCTCAAGATAAGCCTGAAGGTAAAGACACATTTGTCATGGGCAATACAGTTATTAAAATAAGAATCTACAAGATTTGGAATTGCGAAAATTTCCCCCACAGATTTCCCAACAAGTTTAAGTTGGTCATGCGAATTTGCCATGTTGATCAACAGAAAGCTGCATGGTTTGAAAGCGACTTCTTTGTTAGCTGTGCTTCATACATAGCTACAATTTTTTTAATTGTTGTTCTTCATTACCATGGCTATAAATCCACTGTGGCTTATTTCATGCATGTAAATTTTTGTAGTTTACATACTAATTTGTTTGCATTCAAATAAATGACTGAATCTAGGTACCTAGATGCACAAAAAGTCCACAAAACATGTTGAAGCGACACGACACAAGCTTAACAGTATGTCAGTGCAGGAAAACCTCATTGCTGACAGACAGGAGCAAACCATACGATCCTAACACTTTATCAACACGTCATCGACCTTTTGACATTATTAGCATGCACTATGACAAACCACAAAGGACAGTGCTATACTCCACTGTCACCTGAGTCTTGACATAATGAAACATTAACATTTGAAATCACATCTCACATTGGTCTAAGTTTCCTTACCAAGAAGTCAATCAATAGCGCCTTGAGCTTAAAATCTCAATATGAAATATGAAATGCACGATTCATGGGTAAACTCAATGTCAGCTTGACCGTGCTGGCTAGAGCAACTTGTGCATCAGGTTATTTGCAAAATGGTAAAATGAAAGTACTTTCTGTAGGGGTGCAACGGATCCCCAAACCCACGGTTCAGATCATATTACTTTTATTGAGTCATGGATTGGATAATTTTTTGGTTCAGCAAAAAATAGGGTGAGGGGAGACAAAAGTAGCCCTGATTGTGTGGAACCTGTGAACCTTTAACTTATTTTTTTAATCTTTCATTAAATATTGGTGTCATTCCGTAAATATGGAAATCAGCTTTTGTTGTTCCCTTATTAAAAGGGGGAGATCCTACTATATTAGATAATTACAGACCAATTTCAAAGCTTTTTGTTCTATACAATTTTTTAGAAAGCCTTATTTGTGAACAGTTGATATGCTATTTGAATGCAAACAAAGTGTTGTCTATTAATCAATCTGGGTTTCATAAAAAACATAGTACTACAACAGCTGTTTTGAAAGTTTTAAATGATATTGTGGGATCCATTGGTAATGATTTTTGTGCTTCACTTTTTATAGATTTATCAAAGGCTTCTGAAACAGCGGATCATGAAATACTGCTGTATAGATTGAAGAGTGTTGGTTTATCAAATTATGTTATTCCCTGGTTTAAAAATTATTTAAGTGGAAGAACTCAGTGTGTATAGGCTAAAGGTAAATTATCTGAATCATTGGAGATTGCCAAAGGTGTTCCCCAAGGATTTGAGCTGGGGCCCCTTTTATTTACCCTTTATATAAACGGTCTTGATTATGACATTCACAATGCCAATTTTAATTTTTATGCACTATGCAGATGATTCTGTCATGTATTATAGTGCCTCTTCTGGACAACAAGCATTGTATAAGCTACAATCAGCTTTCGATGTCTTGATTGCTGATAAAACCAAGTATATGTTATTTTCAGGTTCAAAGAAATTTGAAAATGATTTAATTTCTCTTCAGACCTTACAAGGTAATGTGATTGAATTAGTAAAAGAGTACAAATACCTTGGAATCATTGCTGACAATGTACTATCTTTTAGATCTCATATTACTCAACTGAAGAAAATCGTGGCCTAATGGATAGAGAGTCGGACTTATAACCCGAAGGTTGTGGGTTCGAGTCTCAGGTCCGGCAGGGATTGTAGGTGGGGGGAGTGAATATCCAGCGCTCTCTCCACCCTCAATACCATGTGAGACTGGGGTGAGACCCTTGAGCAAGGCACCAAACCCCCATCTGCTCCCCAGGCGCCGCAGAATTGCCCACTTCTCCGGGTGTGTTTGCGTCTTTGTTCACTACTCACTGTGTGCACTTGGATGGGTTAAATGCAGAGCACAAATTCCAAGTATGGCCACACATCACGTCCTTTCATTTCCTTTCCTTTCTTTGTCTATCAGAAGATAAATGCACTGGTATTTAATCTATTATAAAGCAATCAAAGCCAATTTAATCTTTTATGAAGCCATCTTGGGGATGTTGCCTCCATATATTTGTTGTCTTATACAATGGAATAATGTTGAGAAATATTTCCTTCGTTCTCAAAATTGTTATACTGTTATCAGTTCCTTTTGTTCGAACTGAACTGGGTAAGAAGGCTTTTATGTATGCAGCTTTGTCTGACTGGAATCTTCTTCGATCGAAATTAAAATTACAAAATTTGCGGTCTTTGGATCATTTTAAAACAGGTATTCAGTAAATAGAAGATGACTCAATGATATGTAAAGTTTTATTATTATTTGTAATAGTAATAATTAAGTTATTAATTAAACAATTACATAACTTTATTCAAAAAGTTATAGCCTACGTGAAGTTCATAAGAGAATCAAGTGTTGCGAATAAAACACTTGGCTGTCAGCACCAACATTTTATATTCCTCTCAGGTTGTAAAGTCCTTTTAGAGCTTTCCTGCTCTTATTTGCTTTCCTCTCTCAAAAATGAATGTGTTCTAAAACAGTAATTGATCCTCATTTCATTTCACCTTTTCTTCTCATAAATCCAGTAATTATTCCTTCATATGCAAACAAGTAAATTAAACCTGATTCTGCCATGATGTGCAATCAAACTGTTTACAGTTGGCTGAAATTTATAATTCACTTTTAATGAAGAGTGAGGAGAACAGGAAGGGGGTGAATATTGAGCAAATATTATAGAAATTTTGACTTGGCATCTTCATCAAAATTATACTCGCTCACAGAGCGGCTTGATACACACAATTGTGTGTGCAATTGTGTGTATTTGTGTCTTTTATCGGTAGTCAGATCTTTGCATAACTCACTGTAAATAGGTCAGGTTAGAGTAACCTGCTCGTACTTGGCTACTCCACCCACAGGAAATGAATGCCAACACAAATATACCAATCTCCCAGCCATGAGCTCATCCCATAGACACACACACAAACAAACAATGATTATAACCTAAGTGCACTCCCATCAAATATCTAATATCAATCCCCATTAAAACGCATAACAAATAAAATAGACCCATGCACACAGAGACTGGTTGTGTTGGTATTAATTTGCAGTGGGTGAAGCAAACCGTGTGTGTGTTTGATTCAGAAAATTAATTACTGCCATCAACAGCTGATGTCAGGCTGACTTCAGAGAAATGTCCTCTGATTACTTTCCTGAGATCTTTCATAGTTCATACACACACAGGCTGAGCTGTTTTTCTGAAGCCCGTTGGCCATTGCACATGCTCCGTCCTGAGCCAATGTGGAATGTGTTACATAGTTGTGAAGCTTCTGAATAGACTTTGTGCTTCGGTCAAAAGTGCTGAGAGGTCACTGAATGCCCAGAAGAACAGT